ACTATGCTCCTTAGCATAAATCACATCGCCGAAGTCGAATACCCGGAATGGCTAGCGAATGTTGTTTTGGCACCCAAGCCACCAACATTTCGTATGTGCGTCGATTACACCGACCTCAACAAGGCTTGCCCGATGGATCCGTTCCCGCTGCCGAACATCGACCAGCTCGTCGATGAAACAGCCGGATGTGAGCTCATGAGCTTCCTGGACGCCTTCCGGGGCTACCACCAGATTTTCATGAACGAACTCGATGCTCTGAAGACAGCGTTCATGACTCTCGATGGTATTTTCTACTATCTGGTCATGGCGTTTGGGCTCAAAAACTCAGGCGCCACCTACACTCGCATGGTGGCAAGGGTCTTCAAGGCTGTACTCGGCAGGACAATGGAAGCCTACGTGGATGACATGATAGTCAAGAGCCGCAAAGCCAGTACACATGCCGAGGATCTAGAAGAGATCTTCGAGATTATGAGCAAGATCAACCTCCGGCTCAACCCCAAGAAGTGCACATTTGTAGTTCAAGGGGGAAGTTCCTGGGCTACATGATTAGTCAGCGTGGGATCGAGCCAAACCCGGAAAAGCTGCAGGCCATACTCAATATGGAGCCGCCCCAGAATGTTAAAGAGGTCCAAAGATTGACTGGGAAGCTGGCAGCCCTCAACCGGTTTCTTTCAAAATCGGCCGAGCGTGCACTGCCATTCTTCCAAATCATGAGGAAGTCTGCAAAGTTCCAGTGGACTCCCGAGTGCCAGACAGCATTCGATGACCTCAAGCGATATCTTGTCTCTCCGCCGGTGTTATCAAAGCCTGAGCTTGGAGAAACGTTATCTCTCTACCTAGGCATCAGCCTTGGGGCCGTGAGCTCGGTCCTGATTCGCGAAGAAGATGGAGCTCAGAAGCCCATCTACTACATAAGCAAAACTTTGCGTGACGCCGAGATCCGGTACTCCTCGGTAGAGAAGACCGTACTCGCAGTAGTATGGACTGTAAAGTGCCTGGCCCACTATTTCCAGGTCCACGTTGTACACATCCTCACCCATCAACCACTGGGTCAACTGATGAGGAGCCCCACAAGCTCAGATAGAATGGTCAAATGGGCCGTTTTTCTGAGCCAATACCAGATCGACATAAAACCGATGCCGGCCATTAAAGGGTAGGCCCTCGCCGACTTCATGGCAGAATGCATTGCTAGAGATCTGACCTCGGTCACCTCAACTGACGAGGACGGCTGGTGGACACTGCTCACTGATGGCTCTTCAGCAGCCAAAGCTTGTGGGGGGGGAGTCGTACTCATCACCCCTGAGGGCTTCCGAGCTTACTATGCTATACGCTTTGCATTCAAAGTCTCCAATAACGAGGCAGAATATGAAGCCTTATTATCTGGCCTACGCCTTGCAGCTAATATGCAGGCGGGAAAGCTGAGGATCAAGTGTGATTCGAGGCTCATGGTCGGGCAAATCAACGGCTCCTGTGAAACAAAGGAGGTCAGGATGAAAGAATATAAAGCCGTTGCGTTGGAGCTCCTGGGCACTTTCCAGATGTATGAAATACTGCAAATACCACGGGCTCAGAATCAGGAAGCCGACATTTTGTCGAAACTGAGCTCAGACACGCCTGAGTACATCTCCAAAATAGCTGAGGTGGAGGAATTGTCAACGCCGAGTATACAACAGACCCTCATACATCAGGTACAATCCATCCTGAGGGACTGGACCACTGACCTGAAAGAGTATATCGACAACGGGCAACTACCCCAAGGTGAGGCCGAGGCCAGACTTGTCAAGCTCTGGGCCCCGACCTATACCCTCCTCGATGGCGTGCTATACAAAAGGTCTTACAACGGCACGCTCCTGCGCTGCCTCAACCCGAATGAGGCCAAACTAGCCATGGAGGAAATCCACGATGGTGTCTGTTCGGCACATCAAGGCCCTCACTCAATGTCCAGAAAGCTCCTATTGCAAGGGTATTTCTGGCCCACCATGGCAAAAGACTGCGCCCAGATGGCACGTACTTGTGATGCATGCCAACAGTTCCAGAACGCCCCGGGACGCCCAGCAGTAAACTATGCCCCCATAAGCACGACAATCCCATGCTCCAGATGGGGCGTAGACTTGGTGGGACAGCTTCCCTGGGGAACCGACAATTGTAGGTGGATTATAGTCGCCATCGACTACTTCACGAAATGGATAGAAGCGAAACCACTGGCTAGCATAACCGAGGCACAATGTAGGAAATTTGTCCACAAAAATATCCTCACTCGCTTCGGGGTACCACAGCAGCTTATCACCGACAACGGTACTCAGTTCGAGGCCAAACGTTTCCAGGACATGCTGGCCAGCTGAATCAAACACACTGCAGCCTCCATCACCTATCCACAGTGCAACGGACAGGTAGAAAATGCCAACTGCACCATCCTGACGGGCTTAAAAAAGAAGCTTGCAGATGAAGGCGGGGGTTGGGTGGAAGAACTCCACAACATTCTGTGGGCATACAGAACGACTCCCCGCAGAGCAACGGGTGAAACTCCATTCTCACTATGTTACGGCTTTGAAGCCAAAGCCCCCACAGAAGTCACAATCCCGACCCCGCAGGTCCTGACATACGACCCCGAGCGGAACGAACAGGATATGCGAGTCGATCTTAACTTTGTTGATGAAAGGAGGGAAAACGCATTCCTGAGGTCGGAGAATTACAGATGTCAAGTCAAAAGCTACTATGACGCCCGAGTTTGAGGTCGAGAGTTCTAAGTGGGGGACTACGTTCTCAGACGACGAGCGGCCAGCCAACCCAATGAAGGGGGAAAGATGGCCAAAAAATTTGAAGGGCCCTACATCATGATAGCTGTGGTCCGGCCCAGAACCTATAAACTGAGCACCCCAAGAGGTACGGAGGTTCCTAGATTATGGAACGTCCACCACCTGGTGAGGTACTACCAGTGACCCAGCGCTGTAAAGGAGACAATGAGCCCTCGCCAAACGGAGACTTTACACAATCACGAGCATTGGGAATCCGGGGTCACTGATAGTAACCTCAGGCGTACACTGTAAGCTGCTCACGGCCGCCATTAAAATCAATAAAGGAAGGGTTCAACACGCAACTTTCCCTGGAAGCAACCAATAAGCCTTCCAGTCCACACTCAGCAATAACATAAGTCGGGGCAACACAATAAGTCCTCGCAAACACAGGCTCTTCAGCCCACTCATTCCGAGGCCATCTTGTAAGACCTCGACGATAATAGCCCCAGTGGCTCCAAAATCATGAGGTCAATTTGTAATCCCTCAACGTCACACGCTCCTCCGCGGAGCCCCAAAGCAGAGGTGATTTTATAAATCCATGTAGATACCGGCCCTTCGGCCAACAATCCAACAAGCAGAGGCGACTCGGTAAGCCCTCGCAAGCCAGGACTATTCAGTCTATGATCAATTCTCCGATGCCACTTTGTAAGCCCTCCAGTATCTGGGAATAAAAGCCTCAACGGCTCCCGATCTCCGAGGCCATTTTGTAATCCCTCCACAACCTAACAGGGATAATAGCCCCACGCGGCTTCCAAAGAGAGAAGTCGAGGCATCTACATAAGTCCTTGTTCCTTCCTCACCACATTAACAGGGATAATAGCCCCACGCGGCTCCCAAAGAGAAGTCGAGGCATCTACATAAGTCCTTGTTCCTTCCTCATCAAACTAGCTGGGATAGTAGCCCAACGCGGCTCCCGAATATGGGGCTGAGGCGAGTTTATAAGTCCTCGCAACCCCACGAATTTTCGTCTCCCCCTTTAGCATTGAAGGCGGGGGGAGATAGAGGCGCAATGCCGAAGGCTGGGCTACTTGACGGTCCTGACCTTGGTCAAGCGTCTCTCGCTCCCGACCCCGCCGAGCTCTCGCACGAATCTCGCAGCGCCGAGCTCTAGCCCATATCTCGCGATCTGGGAGGAGGTAAGCTCCTTAAATTGATGGCGTTACGCCAAATGCTGGACTACTTGACGGTCCTGACCTTAGTTGACACCACTCGCTTCCGACCCCGCCGAGCTCTCGCACAAATCTCGCAGCGCCGAGCTCTAGTCCATATCTCGCGGTCTGGAAGGTGGCCAGGCTCCCAAAATTGATGGCGAAATGCCACAGTCCAGAATTAAAGTCCGACTGCCTGCACCTCTCGCTTCCGACCACGCCGGGCTCTCGTACGAATCCCGCATAGCCGAGCTCTAGCCGATATCTCGCGGTCAGGAAGGAGGTCGTTACAAAAACTCTAGCGCAAAGCCAAACAGCCTGGAATTAAAGTCTGGCTGCAACACAACGCATTACTACGGACTCCAACCGAGCTCGCTTAAAAGACCTCGTATCTGGATCATGATTGTCGGGCCCACTTCTCAAGCCCTGCAAACATCTAGGACCTACTCTCCAGGTTCTGTTTACATATTATAGCTGCTTGGGACATTTTACAAAATAAAATGCTTTTACGCAACAACAACTCACAGCAAGTGAGGCGACTGTCGCGACTATGTAAGAATTTTGTTACCACAGGCTGAGCAAGTGCACTTGATAGCACGGGCTCAGATTGGTTAACAAGGGAGGACTTCGAAAAATGAAGTCAACTCACCTGTTCAAAGCACTTGTTAACCCGACATCATAAAAACAACGAACCGAGACAAAGGTTTCAAACTATTTTCCTAAGGAAAAACTAGTCCCAAAAGGCTTGGTTAAGCGTAGGGCACCAAACTAATGAGATACTAGCTACAACAAAAGGGCACAACTTAAAGCTCCAAAATGACAGCCAAAAGCGCCAGTAAAAGCTCCAACAGTTGGCAATCAGTGCTACTGATAAACTATTCAGTAATGGACCCCTGAAAATCCATTACTGCACAAGCATGCAACATGCGAAAGGCAACATGGACACTTGAAAATCCATGAATGCGAATCAAACAGAAGGCAAGTTCCCTGCCACTGAAAACAGCAAGGAACCAACAATGCCTCACCCAAATGAGGTCGAACATGCAACCTCTGCTGGGGACAATTGCGACAACTCAGCATACGCACGCTGAGCCCAGAGTAAAAGGAGGACATGTCATCTATGGCCCACCCCCACTCAACGACACCTGTGCAAAACAATATAATGCAAACATACAAGGCACAGTGAGCACAAAAATTGCAGAAAAAAGGACATCTCATATACAAAATAAAAACTAGCAGAAGATGTCTCAAAATGTTTACAGCAACGGCTCAACAGCCAGCTATACAAGAAAGAGTAAGGGGAGGGGAATTCACTCTTTTCTCTTCCTCTTCCTTTTCTTTTCCTGCTCTTGCTCCACCTCCTCACCGGCCTCGGCCGGCTTTGCCTGAGCAGTTAGGGAGTGCTGAATCTCCTGGCTAGGAGCAGTCTTCGGATGCTTCAAGGGACGGGGAAGCTTGTATTTCTTATAATTGAAGCTGGGCAGAGTCTCTCGAAGATTATTGTAAATCTCCTGCTGCATCAGATATTTCACATAGTTCAGGGTGGGCAGCAGCTGCCTACGCACGAACTCCAGCCCCTCAGGCGTGGCTAACCAGCCATCAATATGTTTGCCCATGACCCCGTGGAGCCAGCTAACGACCGATAAAGGGGCTGGATCCTTGGAACACGAGGCCTGAAACTCGGAAACGGCGATCGCCCTTGCTCTGTCAATAGCAGCAGTGTGGCCCATCATGTAGTTTTCATATTTCCTCTAGGTGGCAGCCATTTCAGATTCGAGCTGCATTATCCGAGCCTTGTCATGACCAGAAGCAACCCGAGTTTCTGCAAGCTCACCCCTCAAGCTCTCTAGCTCAGCATCCCTGGAGGCAAGGTCAACCTCAAGCTCTGAAGCTCGGGCTTTGGCAGCACCTACCTCCTCGACCTGCCCCTGGAGTCATTCCAAGGCCCTCCCCTGCCTGGCGATTTGAGAGCGGGCTTCTTCTAACTCAAGGGCCACCTTGTCATGTGCCTTTTCCCATTCACCTAGCTCACGGGTGGCCACCGTGAGTTGATCATTCAAAGAGGAACACTGGGTCCTCACGGCGCAGAGCTCGCTTTCAGCCTCTGCCAAGGAATTGCGGAGACGGTCTCTCTCTTTCATTGCCAGAGTAGAAACATCTATCATCCTCTACCACTCGGCCAAGCTAATTTTGGCCTTCTCAATATCAATTGCGGCATTTTTCTCAGCAGCCCGGGCACGCTCTTCTGCGCGTTGAGCCTGGGCCTCTGCCTCGCTCATCGCCAGCACAGACTTATTGGCGGCATCCCTGAGGGCCTCAATCTGGGATTGGCATTCCCCCAGCCAGATTTCAGCATCTTGGGCCCTCCCCCGGAAGTTATTCACCTGCTTCTCAGCAGCCTCCAAGGCCAACTGCGCGGTCCGCAAGCTATCCTAGAGATCCGCCTGCTTCACAGCAACCACTCGCGCCCGGAGCTCAGCTACATCCGCCCTCAGGGCCAGTTCGTAACTCAAGACAGCGACCTGCAACGTGGAAAAACATGACTACAACAAAAAAAGGAAAAAAAAACAACACATGAAGCGTGCCAGAACAGATGCAGACATAGACGCAAAAAAGGTAACAAACCTTAAGAGCACTGGAGGTGAGCTCCTCCGCAACGCTGGGAGTGTCCATCTCCCCCATCACCCCAGTATCACAGAGCAACCGCAAGTGATCCAGCATATCCATGGACCCGGCGTTGTCAGAGACAAAGCCTTGGTCATTTCTGAAAGAAAAATGGAACCTGTGCCTCTTTCGTCCGCCGGAGGAGTCATGCGGTGGTCCACTCCCCTTGGCCACAAAACTTTTTTTCCGGCCACCGGCCAGGGTAGTAACGCTGCACCCTAGGGCATCTGAGCCCAGGCGACTTCGAAGCTGTTGAACAGTCTCCCTGTCATCCTCATCATCATCTTCGTCCGCGGCATCCTCAATGACCACGTCCGGTGGGAGATAGTGCTGGCATTCGCCGTGGCTTGCGCGAACACTGCAGCGTCTCCTTCTTGCGCCTTGGCATACGCAGATTCATCATTACCCTTATCCTCTAAGCTCTCGGAAGAGGATGAGGAAACACTGGGTGAACCGATAGCATACTCAACACCAGCCGAGGGCTGGGTTTCCCTCCCACCCTCCTGAACGCGGTCAAGGAGGTCAAACAAGCTGGCACTGCCTGCAACGGCAGAAACAGCACAATAAACAACAACGAAGGCACACAACACGCGGATCGAAGCACCAATTTATAATCACGGGGGAACATACCTGGTGACGCAACAGCAGGTTGGCCAGTGGAAGCAAAATCAACCTTGGCTGGATCTGCCATTTTCTTGGCGGGCTCAACTTCAACCTTGGCTGGATCTACCATTTTCTTGATGGGCTCAACCTCAACCTTGGCATGATCTGCCGCCCCGGTAGAACTAGCAGCCCCAGGAGCAGACGCCTCCCCTGAGCGTCTTTTCCTCTCCAGCGCAGGCTCCTCATCCTCGGAGGACTCAGGTCCGTGAGGGGACATATGGGCGAAAGCCCTTTCCTCACTCGAGGATTGGGGCCCCAGCACATCAGAAGCAGTGGGACCATCACCCGAGGCATGTCCTGTGGCCAAGGATGCGCCAATAGCCGCAGCAATGTCAGCTTCTTCCTGGGCACCAACCTGATCCTCACCTTGAGGCTTGGCACCAACGTCAGCCCCTTGGTCTTCATCAGGAAACTCGGTATAAAAAACGAAGCCCAAATCTTTGAGCTTCTCTTCGGGCAGGAAGGTCGTGATGTCCAGGTCGCCATACCCAACGTAAGTGCCCACATCATCAGCAAACTCACCCAGCCCATCAGCATCGTGCATGTTAAACGACAGGGATCTTGGGGCAGTAAAAGGAGACCCGCCTTTCATGTCAGTGCAGATAAATACGAACCTGTGTTTCCACCCATGGTGAGACAACGGGGTATGGTAAAACCCACTCCGGAAGGATCGTTGGGAAATAAGGGCGTAGCCCTGGTTCTCCAGAGAGCTGTTAAGCCCAATTTGAAACAAGTGCCTAAAAAGACCAACGCTGGCCTCCAAACCCGAATCCTTGCAGCGTAAGAGGAAGGCAGTCATAAGATAGAACCCGTTGGGGGTCACCTGACAGGGGAGTAACCCAACCCAATTGAGATACTCTACGAAGAATGGGTGCAGCGGAAAGCGGAACCCGTGGTCCATCGCGTCCAGATGAACCGCGAAGAACCCGGAGGGGCAGGAGGACGCCAGGCTACCAGTCTCGGGCCTCACGATGTGAACAGTAAGACCGGCCATGCGTCTGGCTTCATCCAACTCCGCGTCAGTAAGAGCACACGCATCCACGAGAGGACCATTCTCTGTAAGGGTGCCCACTACATTCCCAGACTTCTTCTTGCTGCTTCTCCGCTTCCTAATAAACCGGATGGGAGGCACGTCATGCACAACAACGGCGCCCCCAACCTCGTGTTGAGGGACGGTCCTATCTCCAACATTACCTTGGGAAGACATCTTTTCAAAATCTGCAGAAAAACACACACATACATGCAGACAGTCTGGGGTTTGGGGGTTAAGGACCAATAATCCGACCTCCAAACAGAAATCAAACACTCAAACCAGCATCAGGATGCGATTTCAAGTCCAGAGGTGCCAACTCCACCACGAATGGGGGACTGTAGACCCCCCATTGACCGCGGAGCCGGAAGCGACAGAAAAAACCTTATTCTGGGTTTCTTCCGACAAAACTACGACAGACAAAGAACAAGCAAATAGAGCCAGAGACTAACCTTGTTGGGAAAGTCGACGGGGGAAACTAAAACTTCGCAAAGCAACGATCGGAGAAGACGAGCTCTTGAAGTGCTTGAAAACTCTGAAAACTCGAATACAAAAGAAAGCACAAAGGAAAAAGACGGAAGGTTCTGCCTTTTATACTTCCCTTCAATAATGAACGGGAGGCTTACACGTGGCGCAATAATCCCCAGCCGCTCAAAAAACTCAATGGTTTTTCAAAAAGGCGTGCAAAAAATCGCAATGATGGCTCCGTACAATCACTTCAAATGCCATCCCTCGCATTAAATGCTGAGAAGCGGCTATTAATTCAAAATGTGACAAAAGGAATATGTAAAGATTCCTATTTGTACACATCAGCGTTACTACACGCCACAAATTCTCCCAAAGTCCACCAGGCGATAAATGCAACTGCCTCATCCCCCTCAGACTAATACTCTTCCGCACTTAGAAAATAGAGTTAATTATCAAAATAGGACTAAAAGTCATTCACTTTTCACAAATAAGATAAAAAAATGAACTATGTTTGCATAGGACTAATTATGTGTACCTTGGACAATTATACCCTTATAGCTATTAAAATGTTTTAATTCCTAATAAAATAATAAAAAATAATAAAAAATCGTAAAAAATACTAAAAAATTAAGAAAACCATTTCGATAATAAAAATTTAATTAAATTTTTTTTTCAAAAAATTTAAAAAATTAAAAAAAAAAAAACTCAAAAAAAAAATCGCCGCCGCCTCTGCCGCCTCAACACAACCACCTCCAGTCACCAGGGAAAAAAATGGCAAGTTCATTACAAATGCCATATTTATGGCAGAAAAAAATGAAAATGTTGGCATTCGAAAAGAGAAATATGCCACTTTTTTGGCATTTTCAGAAAAAATAGCATTTTTCTGGGAAAATGGCATTTTTTTCATCGGCCGGAGGTGGTGGTGCTGGGAGGTAGTACAGGCGGTGGGAAAGGCATCCATATTTTTTTAAATTTTTTTATGGAGTTTTACTATTTTTTATTAATTTTTTTAAAAATAAAATTATTTTAAAAAAAAAGTTTTTGAATTTTTTATTTTATAAAAATTTATAAAATTTTTAATTATATTTCTACGAATTTTTTATTTTTTTTCGAATTTATTATGAATTAAACATTTAATTATGGCTTTTGACTATTTTTAATTCATATTTAATGGAAGGGTAAGAATGTAATGCAAAAATAGGTATGTTTCCAATAGGACTCATATGGTCCTATTTTGGATTAAAAACACAGCAAGTCTTATTTTAGGTTTTTGCCATAGTTTTAGTCCTATTTGAACTAATTTCTATAGAAAATATTCTAAGTCCACAAGAGTGGGGGACTGGTAAGTGGGGGACTCGGGAAAGAGATCAAAAAACAGCAAAAACAAAACAACAACAACAACAACAGCCAAGCTCAGGACGACGTAGCCACCTCAGGCTCGGCACCGAACATGTATATCCTCAAAATTCGTACATAGGTGAAAACTCCTTACAAATTTCTTCTAAATTTCATCAACCCATGGACGGGGCCGCGGATGTAGCAACTAACCCATGAAGCAGGTTTGGAACGCGGAAAACGCGAAGCTCGGGCTCATACTTCTCTGCAGCGGGGCGTCGCTTTCCTCTTCGGACTTCATGGCAAAGCGGAGTATACTCTTTTTCCTCCGTTAGGATTTTTTCCCACAGGCTTTTTCCTCAGCGGAGTTTTTAATGAGGTACCCCTTTGTCATGACCATGGAATAGCAGCACCCCTGCCGGGCGAACGCGCCCAGGAAATTGAAGATTTACTCTCTCTCACCTCAAGTTTCACTTTCGCCTCGGAGAGTGGGGGACTCATGATGGAGTATATTCCCGTACACCCCAGGGGTACCGCGATCGTCGGTAGAAAGCCTTGCGGGTTCATCGGGGGCAAGGAAATACTAAGTCCACATCAGGATCCGACCCCGACCCCGACCGTCAAGGTCGGGGAACACCAGGCTCAGGAATCAAGTAAACTCATCAGATAACAGGGTCCACCAACCCCGACCCCCGACCTCGAGGTCGGGAAACATCGAGCTCAGGAGCCAACCAAACTCGGCGATCCATGAGCCCGACCTCGGGACATCCGAGGTCGGCATCAAATCTGACCTCAGAAGTGTTGCTCCAGGTCAACACCAATCAAATCACCAGGCAGTCAAATTACCTCCAGAGCGAGAACGGGAGACAGCAGAACGAGTCCTCTCAGCATGGGCCCGAGCCCCCAGATACCGACCTCAGTAACCCTCGAGGTCGGGAGAAAAACACCCTGTACTTAGGCAAAATTTGCAAGGGCTTAAATCGTGAGGAAACATCACCACGTCACTCTCCGCACAAGTGGAGTACGCCGGATTGTCTGCACACGATCTCTGGCAGGAATTCTGTTAGAAGAATAAACCAATCAGCCAGCTATCAGAAGTTCTCTCTCCAATCAGCTTTCCACGTGGCTGCTCCCGAATCATTCAGGCTGGTAGTTTGTTAGAGTAGCTTTACACGTGCCCCTCTCCTATTAGACCAGAATCTTTTTACTTGGGCACCAAGTATTTTCTTTTCTCCTTAGTATAAATATCACATTCCAATTTGTGGATAGGGATGCTTAATCTATTGCACTCTTAAGACTGATGCACTGAGATTTTGTTAATCGAATACCTGACTTTTCCGTCCATTTCACTCTCCCCTTTACTTTCATTCTTGGTGGATTCCGGCTACCCTGGTCCGACAATCCATCACTTTGTAATAATGATTTTGTGAACCCCCATAACTACTCCAAATGGGAGTATTTATAGAGAAAATTAGGGCTGGGCTCCCAAGTCTTGGGCTTGGGAGGCCCATTTACAATAGGGCCACTAATGGGCCGGATACAAAGTGTATAGAAATGATTAAGTATAAAATCCTATTCTGGAGGCTATCTATGGCCGATGAGGGCATGGCCGATGAGGTCACCCGGTTCTCCTGGCTTCTGGATCACATTTTGAGTAGACTTTTTTCTGGCCGATGGACGTCATCTGGTCGACGAGGGTCCCACCAGGTGATCGTGGTACCTTCTGTTCTCCTGAGTATGTGGACGTTTGGGTCCAGGCCCATATACTCCATCATCATCCAAGAAAAATTGTATGGGAGTACTCGTGATCATCTACAACATCTACTGTACAACATCTACTTTACAAGAAGTTCTGATGGTCATCTTGATCACTCGGCTCAGGATCCGCTGTCACCTCCATGCCTACAAAAAAATAAAATCGCATTAGTTAATTTTTAGTATTATACGAATTCTATTTTTTTCATCATCCATTTTATTAATTAATATGTTTTCATGCAACGCTAAGATGAATTGTGAATTACTATAATTAACACCTTACCCACTAGACCCCCCATCGTGTCTTGACGATCTCTTCGCATATGTGGCCCTATTATGGCCGGATTGGTGGCATTTTCCACATCCAACCATTCCTCGGGGATCTTCATCCATCTCATTCTTAATACGTGTCGACTTAGGTCTTCCCTTAGCCCGAAGCATGGATGGATCGTTCACGATTTCAGGTCCATTGTAAGTAGGCCAATAATCACGATCAGGAATGGGTTTGAAGACTCTATGATATGTGGCCGCGTATTGGTCAGATGAGAAAAACTTATCCACAAATGGAGCATAAGACAAGCTACGTTGTCTGCACACGACTAACACATGGGAGCATGGAATCTTATATATCTTCATCTTTTTACAAGTGCAAGTTTTCCGTTTAAGATGGACAGTTTGTTTTCTCCCACCTTTCCCCAACGTTCGGCCACCACAACCGGTTTCCACTTGAAATAACCTTTGGCCTAAATCAAATGGAGTAACTATGTGATGCTTGGCCTTCTCTCTATTCTTATCAATTAAATCTATGATGTATGGGGAGTACTCGTAGCCTTCTGTCACTATCATTTTACTGGTTTCACGCCTATTAACAAAATAAACATTAACCCGGTAAAAGGAAACTTGGACCAAAGCGGTGATGGGCAAATATCTGGCATTTTTAATCACACTGTTGAAAACCTCTACCAGATTAGAAGTGGTGATACCGTATCTGTACCCGCCATCGTGGTGCAACGACCACATTTCCGGGGGGATGTTTCCCAGAAATTGTCGTCCCTCCAAACTCATTTCACCTATCTTCTTGAACCCACCGTCAAACTTCTTTTTCTGATGTTGTCGTGCGGTCCAGACAAAAAGATTTTTTAAATGAATGTCTTTGAAATGAGTGTGCACATTCGATGCAAGATGGCGGATACATAGCCTATGATGCGCATAAGGCTCCTCCCAAGTACTGCCCACCTCATTCATTGCCCTAACAACTCCATGCCGAACAGAAATGACACACAACTCTCTATTAGTGACAAACTGCCTAATACATGCCATAAACCATGGCCAACTATCCCCATTCTCAGATTCAACAACTGCAAAGGCCACTGGAAATATTTGGTTGTTCACATCACAACCCATGGCCACGAGCAATGTACCGTTGTACTTTCCATACAAGTGTGTGCCATCAATAGTAAGTACGGGTCGACAATGCTTAAAACCATGTATTGATGCCTTGAATGTCCAAAAAACTCTTTGAAACTGCATATAACATGTGGGAGTATTAGGGGTGGGTACCACTGCACAATAGTTCCAGGATTTGAATGTTGGAGCGTTGTCATGAAACGGGGCAATTCAGAATATGACTTCTCCCAACCGCCAAATATTTCTGCTATGGCCTTTTGCTTCCTCATCCATGTTCTCCGGTATGATACTGTATACCCATACTTTTCCTTCAGCATCTCAATGAAAGTATGCACTTTAAGAGAAGGATCAGTGCGAACAATGTCAATCACATCTTTAGAGATGAAATCTGAAGTCAAAGCCACGTGATCGGTAGTGTCGATGTTCCCAACACACGTAGCAGAATGAGGTCCAGGATAACGCACAATTGTGTTTATCCAGGGGCAAGGTTGCCTTTGTTCTTTGTGGCGCGTATTCTCCAGAGGCAATTACATTTTTCTTCCTTTTGCATTGTGCCACCCATTTGTGTTTATCGGACTCTATCACCCGAAAAAATTGGTTCCGTTTGATAGAATACAAGCTCACCATATTGATGACTTGTTCTTTGTTGTCAAACTGTTGACCCACCTCAAACTAACCTTCGAGAGTAAACCTTTTCTCACCTGATCCACTCAGCCACGCATCATGAAATGGATTTTGAGTTGAAGATTGGGTAGCTTTCACCCATCCACATAGTCCAAAAATTCGAAAATTTTAACATTCAAAACCCTAAGTTCAAAATAAGATGAAATGGATTTTGATTTACCTACACGAAAGAAGAAAGAGTGTTGAAGATGAAGATGGAAGTTTACCGAAGTGGGGTAGCTGGAGATGGAGGTTCGCCATAGTTCCAAATCGCTCGATTGTCGTTCATCCTTCGTCCTTCGTCACTGCAGCTTGGGGGATTTTGGGGATTGGGTTTAATTTACGCAGTGTTCTGTTGTGGCTGGCCGATGTTTTTACTTAAGAGAAAGTCGCCCAACGGTTGGGCGACTTACCCCAACCATGGTTAACCCAGCAGTATATTGGTAAATACTTTAAACTCAACCCTATTTTCGTAATTAATTAATTAATTAACATTAATTCGAAAAAAACTCTACAGATCATTGAAATACTATTAAATTAAAAAATAAAATTGATTGTGAGAATGCATTGCTACGGTCTTACGAACTGCATTGTTAGTTTGTTACGTTGCTGAAAAGTGAAAACTTAGTAAAGAATGTACTTATTAGTCTGATCTCTATGTATTTATAACTGTTCAAGATTAGTCTGGTCTAATTAGAGATTACTTTAGTCCTGTTTGGGGCTATTAACTCTAAAAACATCCCACATTCTCCACCTAGGCGGCTAGGCACCTAGCATCAAAAGTCCCTCCGACCAATTAAGTTCTCCTCGGTTGCTTTAGTGCGTGCCTAGGTCTCTTTCCTGCTAAAGCCCTACCTGATCACGCCTGACTATGGATGGACTAAACCAGGCCGGCCTGGCCCGGAACCGGCCCAGAACCGCTACTGTGCGGGCCCAGACCGGACCGGGACCGGTCGGCCGGTTCCGGGCTTTTAGCCCATTTGGACGGTTCGGACGGGCCAGGCTCGGGTCCAGTTTTGGGCGAACCAGCCCGGGCGGTTCGGGCCGGGCCCGAGTCATTTTTTTGTTTTTCCAATTTTTTTTCTTTTCCTAGGGTAGGGCTGGGTGTTTTAGGGAGGTTTGGGGGTGGGGGTGAGAGGGGGGGTCGGGGGATAACAAGAAAGCAAAAAAAAATTAGACATTGAACCGGGCCCGGCCCGGAAAACCCACGGGCCGGGCCTACCCGGACCGGTCACTGACCGGGCCACCGGGTCGGGCCAGGCCGGAACAGTACCGGTCCCGGGCCGGTTCCGGGTCGGGCCACCCAGCCCGAGTCCATCCCTAACTATATTTGAAGATTCAGTAGTACTACCAGCCTACCAGGGAGGAAAACAAGAAATGCTCTCACGGAGAGACTCATAGGACCCTAAAAGGGGGACTGCGAAAAGGTTCACACGATGAACAGTCACTTCTTACGGGACAACGAAAAGGTTTGCATTTGTAATGGACAGTCAGCAGCAGTTCACACAATCAACAGTCACTACTGATGGGACAACGAAAAGGTTTGCAATTGTAATGCACAGTCAGCAGCAGTTCACACGATCAACAGTCACTTCTTACGGGACAACGCAGCCGCAATCCCCCCCACAACCAGCCCAGCAACAGTGGCAGTAATGCCAATGCCAATCACTCCATCTATTGTCCAAATGAGCACAAATGAATAAATTAAGACCAGTTTGCTTGAAAAAGCCCGACACATGTTCTAAAAAATTATTTGTTCCAGTAATTTATGTTTTTTTATTTATTTCTTTTTAGCCCCTCTTTTGGGAATAAGGCTTGGATAATGTTGTATTACTTTCTAGCTTCTCTATGTAGACACCTCTGCTCTACAAAAATAAACAGCATGACTTAAAGAGTCTAGCCTTTCCACAATGCTGTAATAAGGGGAGTCGGGGCCAAATAAAAGTATAAAACTCATCACTCCCGTAATCAGTTTTCAGATGTTGATGGACAAGGAGTCAAGGACTAAAATAAATAAAAATATTAGACATTTTTTTAACAGAGGTTGATAGACAAAGAGTCAAGGACTAAAATGAGAGGATAATACACATATCTGAACAACGTCAAACTATAGACCTATAACAAATATACACACACACACAGCCAAAAAACATACTCCGTATTTAAGCCTTTCTGAAATTCAATATAATGAAGAAAAGAACTAAACAAACTTTCTGAGCAATACCTTTAGTGATTTTATCTTCAATTGCCTTCTTCAGGGTCAATGCCTGCCTCCAATCAGGTTCAATCTACAAACCCGAACACCACAATTATGGTTTTACAATGACATTCAGGATTAAAACACCACAATTATGGATAAACAATCACTTACCGAAAACATCAAAAAATTGAATAGTACTCTCCCTCATGTCCGATTTATATTACTTTTTCATACTTTTTTGTGTTCTTTAAATATGCGGATATGCCCACTTAATAAACATTATAACATATACATCACATTATAAGATTTAAAACAGTGACTATTTGGCATTACCAAGCAGTCAAGCACTAATTCTAGAAATAAAACACAATACTCCTATTTTGGAAAAAGTATTTGTGGTTGACCCGTTTTCAGATAGAGGCTCGTGTTTCATATCTTAACAAAGTAGGCCACATGTTTCAATTCCGTTATCACAGGAGGGGCCTGACACCTAACAACGTTAGAAATCATCGGAGGAAGACCATGAATAATAACTCTGATTTTCAAAACAACAACATCCAAACCTTAGTCCCAAAAGATATTGGGGTCGGCTAAAATGAATCGATACATGATATCACCACCAAAAGGAAAAGAAAGAAAATAAAGATAAAAAAGATAAACTATTATAAAAAGATAATATAAAAAGAGATGAATATACATAAAAAAGATAAAATAAAAAGGATACAAATAATGCTTATATATAAGGATAAAAAACAAGGAAAAAAAGATGAAGGAAAAAGATGATACGAGATCACTCCTTCACACGAATACACACCCTCCACTTAGTTCTCTCCAAAGTCATGCTCATCCAACCCCAGAAGAAACATATCACTTCGAACTCCCCTAACCCACGTCTGTTTGGGTCTTCCTCTCCCTCTCTTCCCTGCCTCTTCTCCACACATCTCAACTCGTCTGACAAGTGTATCACTCGGTCTTCTACGCACATGATCAAACCACCGTAGGCACGACTCCCACATCTTATCTTCAATAGGTGCTACTCCCACCCTTTGTCTGATTGTCTCATTCCTCACGCGGTCCTTCCTAGTATGCCCACACATCCAACGCAGCATGCACATCTCTGACACACTCATCTTTTGAATATGACATTGTTTCACCGCCCAACTCTGATTTTCAAAAGTACTCGAAAAATTAAAAGAAAAATACCAGTAGGTGTGCCTCGTGAAGGAGACCTCCAAACCATCTTCTCTTTGGCTTTCTCGAATCCGTTTGGATTATTTTTTGAAAATGAAATCGCTAATATCACTATTCTGATAGATTTTCCGACGACAAGGGTGGCTGAAAGCCTGGGAAAAAGATGGCTTGAAGGTCGCCTTAATGAGGCGTCACTTCTAGTAATTTTCTTTGAATTTTTCGAGCAGTTTTGAAAACCAGAGTTACTAATCATCATCTTCCTCCAACGATTTCTAACGCCATTAGGCCCCGAGCCCCTCCTATAATAACGGAATTGAAACACATGACCTACTTTGTTAAGAAATGAAAACGGCCCCATCCTCATGTACTTTTTCCATACTTTCCACTTCTTTTTACTCCTATTTAGGGCAATTTTTGTTAAATGATATGCAGTTGACACAGAACTTGTAGTCAGAAAAACTGAAACACAAGATACCGCCAAACAGCTATCCACTATCTCTCTGCTTCTAGCATAATCCCCACTTCTGTAGTATCCAACACCTAAAAGATAAAGCTTTTCCCTCTTTTGTTGTGGACCACTACTGAGCCCTAAAGAAGCTGCAGATAAAAGAAAATCTTTATGTCATAAAATCCATCTAAAAGGAAATGAAAAAACAAACAATAAAAGCTTAATCGCCAGTTAATCAATAATGGATATGTCACTTAATCCTCCTGTTAGTCGCTAATCTATCTCTAGTTGGTAGTCCTATACTCTTATATTACAAAATATTACAAAATGACTGTATAAATGTAAAAATAAACTAATAAAGACCCCGTTTGGTAACACTGAAATTGGCTGAATCGGGAGATTCTGCTGAAATTTATGATGCTCTAGCTGAAGTGGCTAATTCTACTGAATTATGAAAAAACTATATTTAAATTATATTTTATTAATAAAATAAAGAAAAAATTATATGAAAAATAGTTAAAATGGGTCCAGCCAGAAAAATAACTCCAACCTTGCTTATTTTGATTAATACACAATTAAACGTGTGAAATAAAAAAATTGTGTTTAGTGAAAAAGTTGGTTGATAAGGCTCATAATTCGAAAAACAGGGTCACCAAACCGGCTCAAAATAAATACAATCCCTCCCCTTTGAAACCCCCATTCTGACAAGGACTAAAAGAAGGAAAGTTTACAAGAAAAGTAGATAACGGGGGTGCACACCGACAGAGGAGGAAAGATACAAAACCAGTTATGGGTAGAACCAAGAATGTTAACAAAGTCTGAACATAAGAGAGTGAAATACAATACAGTTGGTGAGATTGCCTAGGAAGAGGGGGAGATGTTGAATATCCCCTCCTAGACTTACCATCTAGCATTGCTATACCACGCTGGCGATCTTCTGGACGCTTTGAATGAACAAGAGCCCAACATAAGCGCATCATGCATTCACTTTTAGTTGTTTCAGAAGCACCATTTTCAGCCTCTGCCACTTCACGCTCGCATCCCTGAAAATATACTACACTTTTGGGGAGGAAAAATGAAAAAAGCCAAGACACATTTTGTGTACACTTTACAATCTAAACAGATGCAGTAAAAGAATTGAATATTTATAAAAAAAATATTAAATATGTAGAACAGTGCAGAAAAGAGCATCAAAACTGTTAACCGATCAAACATGCTTCTACTTGTACTTCTTTCTATGATTTCTCAAAGATTACAATGCATAAATTGAGGTCGTCAAATGATTCAAATTTCGAAATAGCAATCACAAGATTATATACTAGGATTAACCTCTCTGGGGTTGAAAACACTATGGAAGACATTACTTGAAAGTCGAAAACTTCACATAATTGCATTCCCCTAAAGCAGACACAGTGACCTTTTAGGATGGGGATACCAAATATAAGTACATAAACAAAGAGATGCTGAGCAATTAACACACACAATTATACTCTATGTAGCACTGATAAGGGTACGTGGAAACGCGGAAATGGGTACGAGGATACGACAAAATAAAAAAAGTAGGATACGGATACGGGGTGTATTTATAAATATTAAAAGTTATGGGGGTGTATTTATAAATATTAAAAATTATGGGGTGTATTTATAAGGGGGGATTTGACTTTGCACCCCACTTTTTGGGTGATATTGGACTTTGCACCCCATTTTCAAAAAACTTTGACTTTGCACCCCAACGCATACCATTGTGTGAAGAAAAATTTCTAAATGGGGCGCAAAGTCAAACGAACTTTAAGTGAAATGGGGTGCAAAATCAAAGTTTTTTCAAAATGGGGTGCAAAGTCCAATATCATCCAAAAAGTGGGGTGCAAAGTTAAATTCCCCCTATTTATAAATATTAAAATTTACATTTTAAAAAATATATATGCATATATTATCCTCTGACCTCTACTCATTCTTGGCATAGAAGCATTTTACATTATTAAGATTCAAGATACTTAGAAATAAATTCATACTCTATCTCATATAGAGTAGTGCATCTCTAAATATACATATAGTCAATAAGTCATTAAAAGTGCAAGTACTTCAAGTTCTTTGATAATGAACATAGCAAACAATATTCTAAAAGTTCTAATACGTATTTCCACTAGAGCTTCTAATTTCCAGGGATAACATCCTCTTCCAAAAAGACAAGGATAGGCTCATTAGTTGTGTAGCACATAAAAGATGAGTGAATTAGAGATAGGCCGGATGAGTAAATTAAAGATGAATGAATTAGGGATAGGCCCATTAGTTGTGTACCACATATAAGCAAGGTAAAATTTATTTTTAGTTTTTCATTTTTTAAGAATTTTACTATGTAAAGTGTAATAGATAAGTATTCTCTAACGCAATTAGGATGTTTTAACCACTATTTAGGAGCGGGCATCTCCCTAAAATAGGATTTCTCTTTTGCCGTCAATTGGTGCGGCGGATTGGTGGCTAGGGAAGGAGATTGTTTGGGAGGTCGTTCGCAGGTGCTAGTTTAGCTTCGCTAATTGGCTTTGTTCATCGATGGAGAAAGTTATGCGGGAGTCAAGGGATAAAGTAGGAGAGGCGGACAGAGAGGAAGATTTGTGGCAACAAAAGGCTATTGGTCCGGTGGATGAGATGATTGAGAAGTATGACGGCCTGGACATCGATGAAGCGCCGGATGAGCTAGTGATTGGCCTCGTGTGCTTCCTTGGTGCAAGACTTCATCAGTGTTTCAATGAGGTGGGGCAGATGAAGGTTGCTCGTCAGGGAATCAAACGCGCAAGGGACGAGAGCAGAGCCTTCTGCGGGGCTCTTCTGCGGTAGGGTTTGAAACTGTGCCTTGTTCGCGTCAACAATCATAGCGATGGTCCGGACTCCTCCTGAACCACCCACCGCCAGGGGTTGAACGAGGTGCTAGGGTTCAAGAAATTTATTTTGCTTTTTTAGTTTTCTTCATGTTTCGTTTTTATCTGGATATGTGCTCTGTTTTGGTTGTGCTGTGTTTTTCCACCAAAAAAAACTCCAGAACTTAGGACATGTGATGAGGAGTCTGGTCTGCAAGTCATTGGCTCAGTTAGGCCCAAAGCGGGATCAGCGAATTATATTGTTTCTACGAAGGTGAGTAATTCTAAGTCTGGTTCTAGGGCGGACGGTAGACAGAAGAATTGTTGTCATTTTGTAACCTGCTTTCGTTTTGTGATGACAATTTAAACCAGCTTCGCTATAAAAAAAAAAGAATTTTACTGTGTAAATTTTGGGCGTTTTATTTAAAAGTTGATACACGTATCTGTCAGAATACGAGTATCCGAAATTTTAAAATAATTACCAAAAAGATTGGAAATTTGTAAAAATTACAGATACGGTCTAGGAACGTACGGAACGAGTATCCTAGAGTATCAGATACGGGAACGTTTACGATACGCCGACACGGTACCATAGTGAAGTATATGTGCTACGTTGGTTATACTTGAAAAGAACAAACAAATAAATTGTGCAACTAAACAAAAAATGCTACACCAAACTAAGTATTAGGATAAGTAAATTAATTGGTAGTAGTAGTAATAATAATACGCCCTCCCCAAAAAAATCCGTTATTCAGAGATCAATCCAGATCACTTTTAAATTCAAATTTTATGTACCACATTGTTGTCATTTTCAAAATCGATTTTTATAGTTCATTATAACCTTAGTATACAACTATTAATGTATAATTTCTAAAACTAATTTAGAAACATTTTATAGGAAGAATTAAATTTATCCTCAGTCTAAGCCTTGTAATCCGAGTGAGAGAACTAATTTAGAAGAAAGAATGTGTATGTAGAAGAAGGATAGCAGAAGAGTATCTATTGCCTCCTTTCTCTGTTGGCCTTAAGCCAACAAATACACACTCCAAATAAAACTACCCACAAACTTAGTGAAGAAAACTATCCAACAACTTACTGAAGAGTGTAGAAGCACACAATCTCCTAATATATAGCAACCACTAAAAAAGTGAGTTTTATAAGTGATTTTGGAGGGAGTGCTTAATAGTAAAACTTGATAGTGTTTTAGAATTTAAGTGATTAAAGTGTAAAAGTTAAAAGCGAGGAGTTTGGTAAAAAAGTGATTTTTAATGTTATATTTTATTAAAGTACCAATATACCCTTCCAGAAATTATAGAGACCATATATGTAAGCCCTTGGTTGACCTTTGCTGCGACTCAATACTTCGTATTATATATATAGGGGAGAGTTCAAAGAGGTCTTCCCATGCAAAGTGAGAATTAATCTTGTGCATTCATTTCCAGATCTAATGGCTCAAAATGAGCCAAAAATGCACCAAATTTGATAAAAAAATGTGGTGACAATTTCGCAAATAAACCGAAGTTTTTTTCCACCACGAAAAAGTGCAACATAAACATGAAATAATGTAACGCGGTGAGGGAAAAGTGTAACCACTCACATAGAGAGAGAGAGTAATCTTCCGGTCAGGCCTTCCTGACCGGAACCGCCGTCCGGCCAACAGCTTTTGGGGCCTTTCCCGGTGGAATTTTTTGATTAAATTTTTATGGCATGTTCTTCATCAAGTCTAGTTTATCCATACCAAATTTCAGCAAAAAAATCAATCAGGAAGGTCGTCAAATGATTTTTGAAAGATAACTGCGCCGGAATATACATATAAAACGCAGTTATCTTTCAAAAATCATTTGACGACCTTCCCGATTGAATTTTTTGCTGAAATTTGGTATGGATAAACTAGACTTGATGAAAAACATGACATAAAAATTGCATCAAAAAATTCCACCGGGAAGGGCCCCAAAAGCCGTTGTCCGGACGGCAGTTCAGGTCCGGAATTCCGGACCTGAATATTTCTCTCTCTCTCTCTCTCTCTCTCTCTCTCTCTCTCTATATATATATATATATATATATATGTGTGTGTGTGTGTGTGTGTGTGTGTTAGAGCATCGGAACGTGAACGATGCATACATGGCTTGAGAGAGATAGAGATAAAAATTACTACAATGTCTTTGTACTTTATTGACAGTTTGGTAAGTTCTACAATGTCTAGATGTAAATATTGTGGTTGACATTATTGAGAAACTTACCAAAAACACATAAGACAGTGGAAAGAAGGAGAGAGGTGTCATGAATTTATTTTTGTGTGTCTATCTCTCTCTTGTCACATACACACTGTGCACATTGTAGCATTGGAGATGCTCTTATATATATATATATATGAAGCTTCAGAATCAACATAGATGGCTTCCCCCAATTCAGCTACCATAGATTATCGAATCACTAGGATTTCATCTCCAATCTGGCTTCCCAAAGTTCAAGTACCATCTATATGTGGCGGCAATACACTATATACACATATATATGTATGTATATATTGAGATAGAAGCGATGTAGTGTATTTTCAGAGAAAAATGATGACAGATGCGGCACAGAGGACATGGATGAGGTGATGAACTATGGACGTACAGTCGTACACCTTAGGAAATGAAGGCTACATTGGACTTTTGTGGATTAAAATTGTCCTAAAAGTTGGTCATCTTTACAAAATACCAAGAAGCAACTAAAAGCGCCTCTTTCCCTGCTTCTGCCTTTTGGCTTTAAGTTGCTTAATTAAAGTAGAAGTTCTCATTTAAAAACAACCTTTTCAGCTTTTCGAAAGCTAAAAGCTAAAAAGGTGTTTTTTAAGCTCTTGCAAACATAGCCTAAAACAAATTCAGCTACTTGCTAACAATTAAACATAACTGAGCAAGCAAAAATAAGAAATTACTAAATTAAGAAATTAATAAATGACTAAATTGGTCCCTCCATCCAAACGAGCAACACGTTGTTGTGAATGTCAGGATATTTTCTGTTCCATACTCTCCTTCTCCCGCAACGCCGTGACTCACAAATCTCAGAGTAAGAGTAACTTGAGTACTAAAAAGCGAATCATATGTATTTTCATATGTATTACATGAAGGTATATACATACTGCAATATGTACTAAGTACAGAGCATTTAACATTTTGAAGAGAACAAATGGTCCAACAGCAAAAAAAAGAGCTTACACCACAATACATTAAGGAAATTAAAAGAATTTGGTAGGACAAAATACACCATGTGCCAAGATTGAAAACTATGTGTGACTTTCAAGCAACAAAATTCACAGCAAGGTCTAAGGTTGATGTTAAAAACTCGTGACAATTTTTTACTGGGCTTAAATAAGTGAATGTTAAAGTTGCTGATCATGAAAACTTGAATCAAATGATATGACTGTTTTAGCAGTTGCATGTGAAATGCGAGGGTATGTTAGAAAACAATTATTTTATTATCCGTACTCCATACATTCATGTTGTCATATTTTGGCTGTGTAACCTACAAGTATTTATTCATAGGCCTGTCTGCCGATATTCTCAACACGTTAGGTTCAATTGAACAGTATCCCCGCGTATACCCAATTTCCGAAAATTGGAGTCCTGAACTTCATATGTAAAGTATCATCGGGCATTCGCGTGAAATGTTTTGTCACTTTTTGCAAGAGAAAATACTGAGTTTCTAACACCCTGATCTAGCCATGCTAGTCTTATCTCCAGAGACAGTTCAGCATCTGGACCCTATAATCGACAGGGTATACAGTATTCATGCAGGATAGATGGTGGGGATACTTACAGCGACGATGTCGGGATCGCACCAAGGTATCTGATCGCCGGAGGAGAAGATATGGCCGACTGAATCCAATAAGTTTCTAACTTTAGCTTCCATTTCCCAGCGACAGTATCGGGTATTTTTTGGGAATGAAAGTCCGGAAAGAATTTAGGTATTCAAGTATTTATTTATAGTTTTATACACAAACAATAATTCATAAAAAGTAAATAAAAACGATTAGGGGTGTGTATTCAATTGAGACATTTTAGGATTTGTGAAATTTGGGTGTATTTAATTGAGACATTTTATTTATCCTAAAATGTATTCATAATGGACATAAGATTTGGATTCTTTTCTCAATCTGGACTTATCTAGATTGCCAAGATTCAATTTTGCTGTAACCTTGGGAGCCCAACTGATTCAAGAGTGTTGCTGCAACCCACTTGCTCTAACAACGTGTGTGTTATTTGTGAATGGGTATATTTTTATTACTTAATTTTTACTCTTATTTAAATGCAGCAATAGTTATTTCAAAAAATATATATGAAGTCATAGTTATATAAGTTGAGCTATGTATTTTTACTCTTATTAATTACTCATCTTTTGATAGTTGAGCTATGGAATGCCTTCATTTAGGCCTTTGACCCTGTAATATTACAGCTATATTCATTATGAAATATTATTTATCTTTTTCAGTATTATTAATGGAAATGTAGCATCCCTCTATTATGCTAGTTTGATTTGATCAATATATACTTTTTCCGTATTTCACTTTGCTTTATGTTTTGTTTTATTTTATCCTCTAGTATGATACATGTAACTTTAATTAGATCAATATATATAGGCTTAGATGACAGTAATCACTGCACCCACAAATGCTTTGTATTATTTTTATGTATGTGCATCCAAATACATTGTGTTGTTTAGACCAGTTAACATGGGGAATATTCTTGAACCAATGAGGAATACAATAAGCAGAACTTTAATTTTATTTATTTGCATCCAAATACCTGTTATTGAGACCAGTTAACATGGGAGATCGAAATTGGACCAATGAAGAAAGCAATGAACTACTTAGGCTAATGGTTGGTGCTGCCAACCGAAATTGGCGTGACCGCTCCGGTAAAATAAATAAGGGAACGGTGGAGCTGCACATACTATAGCCGCTTAACAAAAACCTTGGAATCGACATGACTTACAAACAATATAAAAGTCGCGAGAAATATTTTAAGAGGTTGTACCGTAAGTACAATACTCTCATGAAGCACAATTCCGGTTTTGGATGGGATCACAATTCAAAGTTTTCACCGCATCTGAACAAGTGTGGGACAATTATTTTAAGGTGACCTCTATTTATTATGACATAATGCATACATTTATCTTTAAACACATATTGGTTTTTCTACCTAATCAAATTTGTTATTCCTTTTACTAGTCTCATCCAAAAGATTACAATTGCTAGGATATGATAAAAGAAATTCCGGGGTTGTTTGCTGGTGATCGTTTCAGAGCTCTTGATTTGCTCAATACAAAAGCTCATGACTGCAGAAGATCGTGCGGAGTGGATAGCATATAAATTGAAATGATGGGCAAATAGTATTAGGATTTTTGTTCAGGCCAATTATATTTTTGAAGCAGTCGATGTTTTGAAACTCAAGAACAACAAAGGTCTAATCCAAATGCATGGATGGACACAATAGCAACTAATATGTGGGATGATGCATTTGTGATTGTCCAAATAGCATTAGTGTTAAGCTAATTTTGTTTCTGTTTTCATGACATTGAGAATTACTTTTGTGTTGTGTGATTTCAATTTTCAAATCGCGGATGAAAGTTGATAGCATCATTTTCCTTTCATTGTATTAATTACATTGTAATTTTTGTTAGCGTGAAAATATTATCCTTAGTGACACTTTTAATTTTAAAGCGAAAGTTAATTTTGTAAAGTCCAAAAATGTCTTAATATGTCTCATGTCAAAATCCAAACAAATCTAGACAAATCCATAAATGTCTCAAATGTCTCTTAAAATCCCATAGTCCAAAAATGTCTACAAAAGTCACGATTGAATACACCCCCTTATTACCTCGCTCCCTATGAATTTTGCCGGCTCCGAATTGGGTGAAATATAAAAATAAAGTAGGGAGTAAAAATTACCCGATTGAAGTTGTTCAAATTAGGGCTAAATTAGTAAAATCATAAATTTGTTACTTTAATGGAAAGTTGAACACTTTTTTTAGATAACTATAAAAAGAAGGGAAAAATAATTCAAAGACACTAAGGGTCTGTTTACTAATAGAGATATTTTCCATTTTTCTGAAAAACTGGAAAATTGGAAAAAGGAAAACAGAAAACGTGTTTATCAAAGAAAATTGCTGAAAACTGGAGAAAGTAAAATAGAGAAATGTGTTTACCAAACCGTTTTCCAAAACCAAAAAAGTGAGATATGTATCTGTTTTCCTTAATGAATTGGAGAAGTGACTTTTACTAGTTTTCCAAATTTTGGAAAACGTGGATGCTCCAGTGTCGCTGCAATGAATTTGCATACTTACGCCTAGTGGTGGATACGGTCTCGCTACGGTGAAAGTTCTAGTCCGATCCGGCTAATGACCCGACGGTCCCTATCTGGTACGGCAATGACCCAACGGTCCGGACCGGTATTGACCCGGTGGTCCCTGTCATACCGGTCGATGGTCGGGCAATCCCGATCTGGTCCGGTCGATGACTCGATGATCCCTATCTGGTCCGGCAATGACCCAACGGCCCGAACCGGTATTAACCCGGTGGTCCTTGTCATACCGATTGATGGCCGAGCAATCCCGTTCTGGTCTGGTCGATGGTCTGACAGTCCCTATCTGGTCTGGCAATGACCCAGCGGTCCAGACTGGTATTGACCCGGTGGTCCCTGTCATACCAGTCGATGGGCGAGCAATCCTGGTTTGGTCCGGTCGATGACCCGACGATCCCTGTTCGATCTGATCGATGACCACGCGGTACCTGTTCGGTCCGGTCGATGGTCAGGCAGTCCTGGTCCGATATGGTCTGGTCAATGACTCGGCAGCCCCCATCCGGTCTGGTCAACTACTTGGTGGTCTCCGTCCTGTCCAGTCAACCTCCCACCAGACCTCTCTTCTTCGATCAACGGCCCGTTGGTCTTTATCTTGTCCAGCCAATGACCCGACGGTCTGTGTTCGGTCTAATCGACAATCGGGCGGTCCCGGGCCAGTCCCGCCAATGACCCGACGGTCCCTGTCCGGGCTGGTCAATGACCTGGTGGTTCAGTCTCGGTTTTTGAAATCATTTTTAAAATGAAGTGTTTTAAAATTAAAGAGTCGTTGAATTGTCAACCAATAGGGAAATGATAAAAGAATTCGTCAAACTAACCATTGAGATCGATCGAGACCAACCAGTTTCGATCCTGACTTTCCTATACGTGGGACGTAGTACCTTACTTGGGTTGTACTAAGTTCGATTCGGACTGGTATCGTACTTTTGGTTTTTCTGGTCGGTCAGAGAACCAAGTAAAAAAAATTGATGAACATGTTTTCAGATTTGAAAATGGAAAACTAAAAAATGAAAACAGAGAATTGGAGATAGAAAAACAGGAAAATGAAAACAAAAAATTTGAGAACGGAAAACATAAACAGAAAATTGAAAAATATCTCTGTTAGTAAACATGGCCTAAACTTTGAAGTCTCTTTGTGCTTTAGTACAAGGGTAAGACTGCGTACATCTGACCCCCTTACCCCACTGAAGGCGTGGGAGCCTTTGCGGCACTAGGATAATGATGATGATAATGACCCTAAACTTTGAAGGCGTGTAGATAAATACCTCAAACCTGCATGTGTGATTTAAATACCTCAATCTTTACATAAAAAGTTTTTTAACACCATGGTTACATCATATTATTTCTTTAAAAATGTAAACTTATGATGTTAATTGCATAATTTAAAATTTTTTAGCATTTGTGAAGATATAATTAACATTTCTAAACTTCCATTTTGAATAAATAATAATACGTACTCTCAGTCTATATAATTACAACGCTTCATAATTGAAATAAACATATTTTAAATTTTGCGATTAATACCATAAATTTACATTTTTGAAAAAAACAACAACATATGATCGTGGTACTAAAAATCTTTTATATGCAAAGTTTAAGGTATTTAAAATACACATGTAAGATTGAAGTGTTAGCATCACACTCCTTCAAAGTTTGGGGTATTTGAATTATTTTTCCCAAAAAAGAAAATTGATAGAGTTCATTCATGGGACAAAAGGAGTATAACAATTCATAAGTGTCAATTTTATAAAAAATATTATGCAAAAAGAGTAGTATAAAGGAAAACATATTCTGCAATGTGGTTTATGTCAAGAGATCCTTGATCGCTGTAAGTGATAGAGTGTATGAGCTTAGATTCACGATCTGGAGGATTGGGAGAGCTCCACGTCATCAAATAAAGACGATTGAGAGGCTAACGACCGAGAGGCCTGTATGAGAGTTCCACGTCGTCGAATAAGGACGACGGGGCGCTGTATGGCCGAGGGGCCTGCATAAGAGCTCCACGTTGTCAAATAAAGACGACTGGGAGGCTAACGGCCAAGAGGCCTGTATGAGAGTTCCACGTCGTCGAATAAGGATGACGGGACGTTGTATGGCCGAGGGGCCTGCATAAGAGCTCCACGTCGTCAAATAAAGACGACGGGGCGATGCATGGCCGAGAGGCCTATATGAGAGCGCCATGTCATCAAATAAAGATGACGGGGCGATAAAATGGCCGATGGGCCCGTAAATAAGCTTCGCGCCATCAAATAAAGATGACAGAGCGATATATGGCCGATGGGCCTGTAGATGAGCTTCGCGTCATCAAATAAAGATGACGGAGCGATATATGGCCGATGGGCCTGTAGATGAGCTCTTCGTCATCAAATAAAGATGACAGAGCGATATATGGCCGATGGGCCTGTAGATGAGCTCTTCGTCATCAAATAAAGATGACCGAGCAATATAAGGCCGATTAGCCTGTAGATGAGCTCTTCGTCATCAAATAAAGATGACCGAGCAATATATGGCCGATTGGCCTGTAGATGAGCTCTTCGTCATCAAATAAAGATGACAGAGCGATATATGGCCGATGGGCCTGTAGATGAGCTCTTCGTCATCAAATAAAGATGACAGAGCAATATATGGCCGATGGCCTATGGCTGAACTCTGGGCTCCTTTAGCTTTTTAGCCGGAGACCGCAAGACGTTCGCT